TACACCTGCCCACAGAGTCATAACAAGTGGATGGCACAAAGCTAATGCACCAAAACGCTGGCCTCCACCCTCCTGTTTGGTTTAACAACTGTTCTGGGAGGAAAATGTTGCACTGACAGTAACGTCCGACATTTAGCAAATGTCTGTCTTTGATGGTACTAATGTAGCAGAGACTGTGGCAGCTCATCGTCACCACCACTCCATTCATAGTGATGGGAATTGATAAGTGTTTAGTGATTCACAGATATCACTTATTGATTGTCAGTGGATTCTCACTGGTTCCCTCGAGACATTTACGGGCGTTAGTCTGCACGCTGTGGTCAGAGGTTTGTGCATGCTGGAGGTATTTCCCCTCTTTGTTGTGTTTGGGTCATTACTCAAAATAGCGATCTATCACACAGAACACTGCTCTTAGAGATAATGCAGTACATTACTTAAGTACTCCAGGTAAAAGTAACTTTTACACTCTTTACTGTGTTACTTTCTCTGTAAAATGATCTGAAATGAATTGTCTGATAATTACCTCTTAACTGTAAACTGACCCAGGCACCACCACAAATCTCTATTAGAGAAAGATCATGTGTGTGTCCTCCTTTAGAATGTAAGTATGACCACAAAGCAAAGATGAAAACCATCAACCAAAAAAAGGAGACTTTAAAGTACGAGTGGGAAACTCCAGGCCTCGAGGGCCGGTGTCCTGCAGGTTTTAGACGTGTCCTTGATCCTTGAAGTTCTGCAGAGGCCTGGTAATGAACAAATCCTCTGATTCAGGTGCGTTGACCCAGGGCGAGACCTAAAACCTGCAGGACAGCGGCCCTCGAGGCCTGGAGTTCCCCACTGCTGCTTTAAAACGATCACCACAGTGATTTACAAACATGAGCCCGACTGCTCATCACTGCTTTTGCTACCAGTTGAAGGTCAAGGTCTGGCTGCTGGGCTCGGATCAGCATTCACTCAGCTTTTTAACTCCTCTGTCTTCTTGGATAGCTTAGGCGCAGCGAGCCGTCTGTGAAGATGCCAACGCTGTGTTAGCAGCACAACGAGGTGCTTCTGTCCCACACATCGTGCTCTTGTCTTTTTGTGCCATAAAAATATGTAGACTGTACCACTAATCAACTGAAATCAGCTGATTGTAGTGTAAGTGCCAGTGAAACCGATGAGCTGAACTGACAAGAAGACTAACAAAGACCTGAACTACTAGGGACCGCTTCTCGATTTCCATCCCTGCTCAGACTAGAACAGCACACCTGCCCCCACAGACTGAAGGAACATCTGTACTGCAGATGTTAAGAGATCTTAGTTTCCTTAGCAACAAGCGCCAACTCTGCCCTTTTTTGTATATTTTTTCTGTATTCAGGGAGTAGTGTGGTTTGTTACCTATGTGTAACCCTAGATATTTCTATGTCCAGCCCAAAGACTTTCACAGGCTGGAGAGGAGGCCTGA